GCCCCGCCTGCCAGTGCCCGCTCGACGAGACGCCCTGCCTCGCGCCCAGTCAGTGCACACCCTCCACCCTCCACCCTACACCCTCCACCCTCACACGCATTGGACAATTCAATGGAAAATAAATAATAAACTACTAATAGATAACTTTTATCATCAATGTACACTGAAATGTTCCAAAATAATCCATCTATACTAATATTATACGGAGGAAAGTTTTGTATTTTTGTATGTATTGAAATAACTCAGTCCCAATAGTGGGCCGATTTTAAAAATTCTTTCACCGTTAGAAAGGTGTTATCTATGAGTGACATAGGCTATATATTTTAATTTCACGCGGGCGAAGTCGCGAGCAACAGCTAGTATACAATAAACTACCATGTTAGATAGTAAGATAAATAAAATTTCTCATTTAATTTGAATTGTCTAAAAGAGTACATAGTAGTATTACAACTTGTAGTGGGAAGTTTCATTCGATTCACTTTGTCATGTTGAAGGTTCAAAAATTAATCAGTTGGGCTTATTTTAACTTAATCTAAGACGGTTTTGAATGAAATACTTTATACTTAGTTGCATAATATTTTATACAGACGGTAAAAGCTGCAGCGGCCACGGGCACTGCGTGTGCGGGCAGTGCGTGTGCGACGTCGACGAGGACCGCCACTACACCGGCATTTACTGCGAGAAGAGTCCAGTTAGTATTTCTATTTATTACTATGCATTGATAGTAATATTTGTCGCGATATTGTATATGCTAAAAACTACGAAATAATATTGGTATTGAAAATTCTCCGAATTTCATGATATAAGACTAAGAAAATGATAGAGATGATTTATCCGTCAAAAAATTTTAATAATCACTTTAGTGAGTGTTCTTTTTTCATAGATTTCACGAAAGAATAAGAATAGTAATGCTAATGTACTGTTTTTTTTTTTATTCAGGCGTTGCCGCGAAAATGCTTGGATTTCCAAGAATGTGTTCTCTGTCAAGTGCACAAGCGAGGACGATTGTACAATCCGGATGAACCGAAAGAGTGTGGCAAATGTGACTTGGAACCTGTTATCGAAGAGGGCAGAATCGAAGGTAAATTGTTCAATATTTTTAATAGAAATATTACACAGAGATTTACTGATAATTTTACATGTTTCGTATAAAGAACTAAAATGTAAAGGGACTTACTGTTACTATTTAGGTAGCGAATTATTTAAGATATGGACAGTTGCGATGGCCAGTCATAAATTGTATGGATTTTTCTAGTAAATTGAGGAGGGATTTTTATTTTTAAAAATATATGTTAATCTTATGGGATTAGCTCTATCATCAATCTCTATGTATGGATTTCTTGGCGGCAGTTAGCAGTCATAATGTGTCAGTTGATTGGCGGTGACGAACCAAACCAAGTGTGAACCGCGCATTAGTGAAACAAATGTTAACTTTTTATTACGTTTGCAGCCAATCAATCTATGAACGAGAACCTGTGCAACTACTACGACGACGACCACTGCCTGTACGTGTACGTGTACTCGTACAACGACACCGAGCACCTGCACATCCGCGCGCAGAAGGACAAAGTCTGCCCCAAGAAGGTATACTCCAACTAACAGTACCACACTGTGTTCTTCATCCATGTAAACGATACAAAAGTACGAAAAAAGGGAAATTATTTAGTCATAGTGTTACTAATAAAGATATTTATCTGTTCCCCTGCGGCTTCATCCGCATGAAATTATGAAAATTTTATTTTATTGTTTACATGTGTCAAATTATCAATAGCAAATGTCAAAATGACATGACATGAACAACCTTAGCAATCTTTCTTACTTGATGTTGGCAGCAACTTATGGTCTCTTTCTCATATTAGGGTTTTTATCCAAAATATTTACCCCCAAGTTTAATGGCGTGAAAATATGCAGCCTAAACCATGACATAAGTGTAGGGCCTTTTATTAAAAAAAAATATTAATAATATGCTGTAATTGCTGACGTGTTTACACTTTATTATAATAGTATAGATATAGATAACAAATTATGTTGTAGATTTTCGCAAAAGATACAAAAACTAAGGAAAACTATTTAGTCATAGTGTTAATTTTGCTATAATAAATGTGAAAGTTTAAATAGTGATGTTTGTTAGCTTGTAACATGAACAACTGAACGGATATCGATGAAATTTGGTACAGATGTAGTGATTAGTATGGAAGAACACATATGCAAGGAGAATTTTTGTTTTATTTTCTTCGAATCCGAAATATTGACTGACCTTTTAGTGTCTTTTCAAAGTGTAATGTAATTAACGAGTAAATGAAGTAGGCAATGTCGTGATTTTTCTAAACTGTAAACTTCACTGATAGACTAATTTTGGCTCCTCTTAATATTTTTTGTTGGCAAAAAAACTTAAAGAACACGTAGCTAAAGTGTGGTATCAATGGCGACAATTTTTTTAATTACTGTTTTAAATGTTTGTATTTCCGTCAGGTCTCTATCCTGGGCATCGTGCTGGGTGTGATAGCGGCGATCGTGCTGGTGGGCCTGGCGCTGCTGATGCTGTGGAAGATGG